TGTGTCCGAATATCCATCTGTCTTATGTGGGTGAACATATGAAAACAGAATCTCTCTTTTTTTTTGCCAGTCATGGGGCTTGAACTCTGGGCCTAGGTGCTGTCCTTGAGCTTTTGTGCTCAAGGCTAACGCTTTACCATTTGAGCCACAGCTCCACTTCCAGCTTTATTGTGGTTAATTGGAGATAAGAGTCTCGTGGACATTTCTGCCTGCGCTGGCTTTGAATTGTGATCTTCAGCTCTCAGACTTATGAGTAGTTAGGATGAAAAGCATGAGCCACAGGTGCCAGGCAGAGTATCATTTTTAATCAGAAAACATGCGTGTTGAAAGTAGTCTATAAAGATGTTTTATAGGAACCTCAGAATGCCATATCTTGCTCCATTCAGAGGGCTGAGGATTCTGAGACTAGTACAATGCAATTCTATATAGTACCTGGTGCCTAGGGAGAATGGCAGGAGCTGTTGGGACCTTTGAAAAGGAGAGAGAACCTGTGGAGGAGATCTGAAACAAATACACAGGAAGCTCAGTGAGTTCAAAGGAGACAGATTAGGGACAAAAAAAGGGAGGGGAGAGAGGGGAACAATGGCTGTAGAAAGCAAAGATCAATAGGAGTTGTCAGTACTCAAGGGCCAGCAGCTATCAGAATCTAACCCACTAGGGAAAGAAGATGTCATCCCATTGTAAGCCCATAGGAGTGGCTGTGGTGGGAATATTGTTTCCAGAATCTTCCTGGCTCAAAGCCTAGTACCCAACAAGGAGAACAATACAAATAATTAAGGGAGTGGTGGAATTAACTTACAGGGAATTCTTTTTACTTTTTTTTTCACCCAGTGTGATCAAGGGCAGTATTCATTTCACATCAGATAGGTCTTCTATCAGGCACTGGTATCCTGTTTTGGCAAAAGATAACCTAGTAGATTTTTTCCATTCCCAACTTGAAGGATGTTACAAATTATGTATAGCTTGGGAAAGTGATGCTCTGCTGTCTAACATGACAAAACCTCCAGGAGGGATAACAGATACAAAAGATTGCATTACAAAAGCAAAAAAACAAAAACAAAACAAAACCAAGAGCCGGCTTCCTTTACATTTGTACAGAATTCAAATCAGAGAAAGAACTCCAGTCTTTTTTTATTTCCTTTCCTTTGAGAGTATTGGGGTTAGAACCTTTGGCCTGGAGCTTGTCAAGTGGACACCCTACTACTTGAGCCACAACCTCAGCCATTTTGGGGGGAGGACTTTTGTTATTAAAAAAATATTTTTTCTTGGGCTGGGAAGGTGGCTCAGTGGTAGAGCGCTTGCCTTGCATGCATGAGGCCCTGGGTTTGATTCCTCAGGACCACATAAGCAAAAAGAAAAACGTCGGAAGTGGCGCTGTGGCTCAAGTGGTAGAGTGCTAGCCTTGAGCTGAAGAGCTAAGGGACAGCACCCAGACCCAGAGCTCAGGCCCCACGACCGGACCCAAAAAAAATATTTTTTCTGGCCTTGGATCACGATCTTCCTGCTTACATTTCCTACCATAGGTGGTATTATAGACTTATGCCACCCATGTGGCTTATTTATTGAGATGGGGAGAGGGTTCGCTAACTTTTTGCCTGAAATGGTCTTCACCATGATCTACTTGGTCTCTATCTCCTGGGTAGGGAGAGGAACTGTATATATTGGCATCTATCTATCTATCTATCTATCTATCTATCTATCTATCTATCTATCTATCTATCTATCTATCTATCTATCCTTTTTAATAAAATGTACAGATTATATTCTAAACACATTCTGAGAAGATGGCATGCCCAATTTGCAGGTAGAAATGACATTTTATTTGCATTTGAACCCAGAGCATGGCAGTGAAGAAGAAAGGAGCATGATTCAATTCTCTGGCAAATGGCATAAAAACAGATTTGCAGATCTACATTTTTCTAGCAAATTCAAGTTATAGAACTTTTTCTTCTGGCTATAATCAAGTGAGTGAGTGACTTGATGGCTCATTTTTCAAAGTTGCTTTCGGCGCTTCTAGAAGTATCCATTTTGTGTATCCCTTTTCCAAGTCAACTCTTAGGGTATAAGTCTGCAATGTCAGTGCTGATTAGCGTTAATTCTGTCCAAGTGAAAAAGAACTCATGGGAGATCAGTTTGGAGGAGTGAAAAGGTCTGACTTTATCAAGTTAAGCAGTGCTGATTTGCAATCCTGACTTTTACTTATATATCTACTGTGTGAACTTCAGCACATTATCTAACATCTTTGACATCCAGTTTCTTAATCAGTGTAGGGATTATAGTGTGTACCATCATGCCTGATTCTAACTAACCTTTTGTTAACCTTCTCCCAAATAGTCCTTATGTTGAGTTTCTGTCTCTTTCATCCAAATTGTAGTGATAGAAATAATCTATTAGTCTGATATAGGTTATTTTCTTTGAATCTGCTTACATCATTTGGATCATGTTTATTTCAGGCCCTTACAACTGTGTGTGTGTGTGTGTGTGTGTGTGTGTGTGTGTGTGTGTGTGTAGTGCAGTAGTGCAGGACCAAACCCAGAGCCTCATGCATGTTAAGTAAGCCTCTACTATTCAGGTACATCCCTAACAAATACCGATATTTTATGATCTGACAAGCAATAAAGAAATTGTGCCAATTAAAATTGTTAGAGACTGGATGGAGATATATGCCTGTAGTCCCAGCTTTTCTGGAGGCTGAAGTAGGAGGATCACTTGAGCCCTGAAGTTTAAGGCCAGCCTGGGAAATATAGTAAGTCCCTATCTCAAAAATATTTTTTGAAGATACCACGGAGACTAAGACACACACTGATTTGAAAGACATGGAGAGAGGCATGTTTTGGAATTCATGAGCTATGGCTTCATATTTGCCACGAGATAAGGCCTGTCCTCCCCATGTGGTATGCTTTTCTGTCTTATGGTACATATGGTAAATACTTCTTGGAAGGGGTGACATCCATCAAGAAGCATTGTATTCATAAATGGATTTGTTGAATTGTGACTCATTTGTATGACTACTTAAAGGTAATGAAAATATAATAAAAACTGTTGCTTGGTGTGTTAACCCTAAAGGAATGGCCCCACAATGATGAGCCTCTTGTTATTTGCCACACTTTGGATTTACTTCCTTTTTGTGGGGTCAGCATTATTCTAGAAGGAAAAAGAAGTTTTAAAGGCCCTAGTTGAGAAAAGTTACTTGTTGCTCCCTTCATAGGAGCAGAATACATGCTGCCCAAACATGGCTACTAGTTAATTCCTGTGTCATGGGTTAATCATTCCTCTGGCCAACAGACTTTATACCAGGTGGTTCCACATGTACCTTGCCACACTTTCTAATAATCTTATTTGGTGGTGTACCAAAGCCCAATCTTCTTCATAAGACAACAAAATATTCTGCTCCTTTTTCTCAAACAACATTTTCAATCACAGCATCAAAACAAAGTTCATTTTCTCAAGCCCACATATCCTTATGTGGGTTTCTACCTTCCATATGCTTGATTACTCATGAGGCAATGTTTTATTTTCAGTGGGAAATGTATTCTACATTTTTTCTGCAAGTCCGAGGACCTGGGCACTGTCCCTGAGCTTCTTTTGCTCAAGGCTAGTGCTCTACCACTTGAACCACAGCTCTACTCCCAGCTTTTTTGGGTTATTGGAAATAAAAGTCTCATGGACCTTCTTGGCTGAGGTGGCTTAAAATCATGATCCCCAGGTCTCAGCCTCCTGAGGAGATAGGTTTACAAGCATGAGTCTCTAGCACTCGCCTTTAGTGCATATTTTATTGGAATGACACTACTAGTAGAAGACAGTTTTGGTCTGCATTAAATATTTTCAACATTTGATGGAACACAAAATATGGGCAAAATTCAAACTTTCATATTCTCTTCCCAAATTCAAATATGTGTCTACATATTATACAATTTCATGTTTAGCATATCACATGTTTACTAGAGGGTATTTTATATTTGCCACAGATGGAGAGAAGTATATTGTCTTAATGAAGGACAAAAATAGCTGAGTTTTGATACAAAGGGGGGTTGACTCACTAGCATTTTCCTTACTCCTTACTGCCACCCCACCCCCAGGAGGAAGGTAGAAGAATGCAAACTCCAGAGGCCTGTATGGATGCTGGCCTAGTAGCAAGATGTTACAGAAGATACCAATTTCTTGCTATTGATTTTGCTGGGCTTTGACCGACTCTTTTTTTTTTAAGATTATAATATTTGAGCTCTCCATTGAGTCTATTATACTTCAGTTAGTTCATTTGTAACCACTTGCACATACAGCACATGTTTACTTATAGATTTGGGGGCCAAGGGGAGGGGTAGGCAAATGACAGGGGCATGTGGGAGACAATATGGTCAACAATTCATTGTATATACCACCAAATGATGAAAAACAAAGGGGACGGTGAGAAGGCTGAAGGGGAAGACACTGGTCAAGGTGCATTGCATCCATAAATGGCTTTGTTATGTGCCAGTTCCTTTGTACAACTACTTACAGATAATTTAAAAACATGTTACACAAAGGAGGAGGCAGCTTAGCGTAGGATGAATCCTCCTGACCACTGCCCATAGCAGCCCATCCGAGGGTAAAGTGAAGGACCCTGAAGGAAACGTATGGTGTGAGGATGGCTCCTGCTCATGTGTTTTCCTTATTTCCTGTCCTCCCGTGTTCCTTATCTGAGAGAGGAACACAGTGTGCACCACAGGAGGGCAACGGCCAGATAAACTGTCATAAAAAAAAAAGCTTCCACCCAAAAAGGAACTGTGAAATCACTGTGCAGACCTCAGGATGAATCCCAGAAATCTGTAATAAATGTAAGTCAAATTTTCCTTCGCATATTTTTCCCCTGCTGTCATGACAGCAATTTTCTAGAGATAAAAAGCTTTGAAGATGTACTTCGCAGACACATTTTTTCCCCCTCACAATGATGACTGCCTGAGAATGTCATTACAGTGCCTTACCTTTTTCTTGAGCTAAATGTATCCTCTTTTCTCTTCTAGGCAAACATCAATATTCCAATGGGAGCCTTTAGGCCTGGAGCTGGGCAACCTCCGAGAAGAAAAGAATGCACTCCTGAAATGGAGGAGGTGAGGAAAACTTAGGTAGCAGAGCTCAGTAAGGCCTGTCTCCTTCAGCATCCTCATTAAGCGAGGGCAGAGGCCAGACAGGATGATTCTCCAGGACAAGGAGGGCCCAATAGCTATGTGTCAAGGAATCATCATAGAGCCTTTAGGTTTCTATAGCAGTCTTTTGTTCATTCCAATGGGAAACTCAATACCTTTCTCCCTACTGGCCAAAGGTAAGCATGGTTACTTGAAGATCTGTTTAATTTCTACTTGGTGACTGATTTTGTGTGTGGTGGGAAGGATATAGCACCTCAGATGCTTTCTGTCGGATGCTAGTCATGAGTTTCTAAGTTTTTACTCAAGAGCGTTTACTGAACCAAGCAAGATATATTTAGTACAGATTCTGGCAGGTGATAAAGCCATCAGAACTCATTGATTCACTTATGGATTCAGACAAACACGTTAGATGCTTTCATCTTCCTTGGAAGAGTTTTGCAAGGGAGTCTATCTAGTTTCCATTTCTGCCTTTTCCCCTCCCTTTCATTCTTCACTTCACGCCAAACTCAATTACCTGATGTGTTAACATAGGGGCTAAAATCAACAAATACCAAAAGAGGAAAGAGTTCCCTCTGCAGATGTTTATATGTTTTACTCACAAGTGACTTTTCTGCTGAAACCTCATGTATTTCTGAGGAAAATAAATAAATAAAAATGTGAAGCATTTCATTACCACAAAATGAGCAATACAGAATGAAGTGACAAAGTCTAACACACTATAATTTATCTTTTTACAAAATGTGGTACTGGGGTCTGAACTCAGGACATGCTTGCTAGTGACTGGAGCTGTACCACTTGAGTCATGCCTTAGAGCCAAATCCTCATAAAAAGGGCGGCCCTTTTGCCTAAGACAAGCAGCTGCTTGCCTGAAGTGATCTGAAGAGTATTACTAAGCCACTTTAAGCCTCCCAAATCTCATTTTTAACTAAAATAGCATCACTATTAAGCCACCAAATAGCACATGGGGGCATTCTGTTAAATATTATCCTTTCAATTTCAAACTGCTTCCTTTACATGATGCTAGCACATCATTTAAGTCTGATCCAGCCATAGTAAGAAGTGTGGCCTTGGACCAGTTTTTTTTTTTAAGTAGGTCTCCTGCTGTACCACTCTCCTTAACTGCCCCCCCACCGCTCCAATCTTCTGAACTATAAGACAAGGATACGAGCAGGGCAGTGGCAGACGTGTAGGTTCATATGAGGATGAAGTGTGTTAGTCCAGGTGCTGGGAGAGCTAGCAATGGAAGCATTTGCTGGTATGGTTGAGTCTTCAGTGTTGGAGCATGAATAAGCACGTCAGATTAGTTCTCACATAGGAGAGTCTAGGTAAAATCTCAGGATGGTATCTGGTAGTAATGGGGGAGATGAAAGCAAGGTAGCTGGAAAATGCTCCCCCTATTTTGTGAAGTTTTACAAATTCTCTGTGATTCTCAAAGCCACCATTTCCCTTTGCAGTAGCTCTTCCTGAAACTGGGAATGCTGCTATTATCCATAAGTTTTCATTCACATTCTTCATCTAAGGCCAAGAACATCTTCCATGTCCCTTTTCAATTCTAATATCTATGAAAAAATAAAGAATGTACTGAATTAGCTAAATAAGACCACCTGGAACCTTGCTTCTTCAAGTGGGCCTTAATTGATTGTAATGCTTATAATAAGAAATTCACAAAAGCAATGGAATCTGATTTCCATTATGTTTTCAAAAAAAAGTTACAACTCAATAAAAAATGTACCACTATCAGCCTCCTTCCTTGGGTCAATATTATAATGTCAAGGTACTGCCTATTACTAAACATATCACTTAAAATTTCCACCATATGCTACCTTACCAAATCAAATGCTGAAATCCTTCCTTACCTTGATAAATAAACTACACAGGGCATTGAAGTTGTAATACTTTGACAGAAAGATGCTCGGTATTAGAGAGTATCATTATTAATCTGCATATTTTCACACCATACATCCTTGCACATGAGTGCTGCTAGTGGCTTCATGCATTTAATGTTCCAGTGTCACACATTTTGATGTTATAATGGCAGTGAATGTGACTTACCCAGGAATTTGACAGAAGGAATTGGAAGCATTTTTCTCCTTCATGCTTCTTTATTAAGATCTACCCACCTAACAACTGCAAGAACATTTCTAAGTGAGGAAACATTTTTCATTTCAGTGCTACACATATTAAAAAAAGCAACACTTTATAGACTTTTTCAAAATTCCTTCCCAGAAGACTAACAAGGAACATTTTAGAAGACGTCATCTTCTGTGTGGGTGTTTTACAGTTTTAATTACTGCTTCGACATCTGCACTTACATGTGATGAATGTGACTTGAGGAAAAGCAGCCAATCCTATGTCTCTTTGACCCTATGGTCATTGATGCACTGACCTGGAGAGACAATCTGTTCTTCTAAGTACTTACCCTGCATAAGGTCTACATTGAATTCCTTTATCACTTCACATGGGTAACACATTAGCTATTTCTTTAGCACGGTACCAGATGTAGAGAAAAGGATTACAGAGAAAACCATTAACCCTTAGTAGAAGAAAAACACTGCACTACTCTCTAAGTCCACTCTTTTTTTTTTTCCAATAACCAATTTTAAAACATTTCTGTGAAGGACATACATATCTACCAAATAATTTAGCAGAGGCTTGAACACGTTCTTCCTTTAGGATCTCACCAGTTGAAGAAGACACAGGAGCCAGATGAGGGTTAACACAAGGCATGGACTTTAATCCCATCCACTCCCCGTGGCAGGGCTGTCAAGTTAGACTGGGAGGTATAGGGCTTCCTAGGAGATAGATGGGTGCTTTCTTAATTCTTTTTTATTTTTCCCCTGTGGAATGGCATTGGTTCACTCCAGGAAGCTGGAGCTCTGTTGAGCTGGCATGGAGGGCTGTGTTACTTTGAGTGACTCAAGAAGCCGACCCAGAAATGAGATTCACCTTGTGAAATATTTATTGCTGAAAATATTTGTAAGGAGAATGAGGAGTTACAGGAGTCTGGGAACCATTAAAGCATGAACCATGAAGCAGGGGCGGGAAGGTGGAAGTGGTTCAGACTAAGGCCAGTTCTCTGGCCAAGTGGTTTTACCAGAGGTCTCCCAGGCATGGGCCCACCCCTTGACTCTGATCTCGTTCAGTCATTGGTGATCCAGCAGGCTTGGGAAGTATGACCTCAGCACGAAGCAGCTGGGGCCCTCTTTCAATGATCTTCCTGGTTGTAATCTGATCAGAGGTGTGTGCTCAGACTGCCCAGGGGATTAAATGTCATCCAGGGCCTTCCTTCCCGGGCGAGGTCTTGCCCCACCCCCACCTAGAGCAAATAAGAGCAATGGGACTAACCAAACAAGCAACTTTCTTCTGTAGTAATGAGTTGGAGCTTACCTTACTGTTTTATGATCCCTTTTCTATGTGTGTGTGGTGTATGTACACAGAGGTGTGGATTTCTCATTAGGGTACATTCTGGGGAATCAAACAACAAACATCAAATATCTGTTTATATCTCTGTAACCAGGCATGGGGCGGGGCACCAAAAAGAGTAGATGTGAGTCCTACACTAAAAATTGTGATGAAAACATAACAGCATTTAATGATAGGAAATATAAAATACTTCCCAAAGCAGGAGAAGAGGGCTGGGTCTTCTCTGTCACTTCCTCCTGTATTGTCTATGTTCAAGGATGTTCTCCTTTTGTCCTTTCATCCTGTTTATACTTCATAAAGATGTCATGGGCGGCACAAATTGTTAGAGCCAACTGTTCACCAATGTTACACAGATTTATGCTGTTAGGCATATTATGACTGTATGATACCGAATTCAATTTAGTCTTGTAAGATGCTTTTCTTGGAAACACAAATCCTTTGAATTGTTAGTAATATTTATTGGTTACCAGATGTTAAACAGTATTCTAGTATTTTCTGTCATGTGGATGACTTATTTTCTTTTTCTTCTAACTTTCTTTTACATTCCTGTATAAACTTCAGTCAATTGTATTGAAACTCTAAGGTGGTCCCAACACCAGCAAAACAAGGGAAAGTTACTTCTTGAATCATATGCTAATATTATTTTTGCTTTAATTTTTTTTCTGGTTCATCCCATGAGCCAGGAGATCTTTTTTTTTTTTTTTGGTGAATTGACTTTCTTCTCCTTTCTCCTCAGGGAGCTCCTTCTACCTCGGATGAGGAAAAGAAGCCAATTCCTGGAGCAAAGAAACTTCCAGGACCTGCAGTCAACCTATCGGAGATCCAGAATATTAAAAGTGAACTGAAATATGTTCCCAAAGCTGAACAGTAGTTGGAAGACAACAGGTGAGTAAAAATCTAGTCTCTTTGTTTGAATAATGCCACTACATAATGGTGTGAAGAAGCCTTTCACAGGAGGAACGTGGAATTCCAGAATTTCTTATTAAGTATTCAATTTTCTACAGTTTTCTGGAAAAGCCAAGCTTTGGGACTTACTCCATCATTAGTCAGATCTCTTTTGTTGTTGTTGTTTTTGTTGTTGTTGGTTGTGGGGCTTGAACTCAGGGCCTGGGCGCTGTTCCTGAGATTTTTCACTCAAGGCTAATGCTCTTCCACTTTGAGCCACAGTGCCATTTCATTTTATTTCCACCCATGGTTAATTGGAGATAAGAATCTCTTAGGGACTTTCCTGCCTAGCTGGCTTTGAACCATGAACCTCAGATCTCAGCCTCTTGAGTAGCTAGGATTAAAGTTGTGAGCCACAGGTGCCTGGCTCAGTCAGATATCTAATGCGGCTACTTGCCTGCTGTCCCCTTTCTGATCATCCTTCTGAGCTGGAGAAGGATGAAGTTAGGAGAAGGAAGATAATTAGGAAAGGGCCATGAGAAGCCTTTGATCTTGGGTTCTAGGGAGCATTGCATATTTCAGTGTCCTTACCCAGATTCTACATAGACCAAAGAAATAACAATTCCTTTAGTCTGGGGGTAGGAAACCTTTCTTCTGTCAAGGGCCATTCAGTTACTTACAGCATCATTTGTGGGCCATACAAAATGAGCAGTACAGGCAGATAAGCCCATGGCAGCCATAAGAAGCTCACATGTCTGTCTCATCATTTGCCAAATAACATTTCAGCCCTTCAACAGCTTGACTGGGGCAGGAACAAAAAGGTACCATACCCCTGCCAGCTAGAGAATCAGAGAAGCAAGGAGCTAAGCGGGTTTGAAAGGGGGAAAGTACAGAAACTCAGGCCCTGAAAAAAGGAGCTCAGGTATGTGTAAGGCAGATTGAGAGGCTTTCTGCCGTATACATGCGGGTGTGGATGGGGCACAGGTGGATTCACAACTGTCTACACTGCTTTGACATGACATTTTGTTTCCATTTTAATTGATATTCCCTGTAATGTTGCCTAGTGAGGGCTCAGTCTGCCCTCTTATCTTGCCAACTGATAAATTCTGCCAACAGGAAGACTATGGAATTAAAGCAAACCATTGCTCTTTTTCCTCCTGCTCAGGAGCAAATGTACTCTTTATTCAACATTACTAAACTCCATCATGCACAATATACTCCATTTCTCAAGGAGAAAAGTATAGGGGAGAGGAACCTAGAACATGGACCATAAAACAGGCTTTATTCTGGTTGCTTATTCATTCATTCATTCATTTGCCCACTTGGCCATTTAGCATTTATTTGGCCAATATTTGTTGCATATCTGCGATGGCTGAACACTAGAAATATTTATGAGCCACATTCTATGTGCCAGATACTATGTGAATAGCACCGTAGCAGTGATCTCTTCTAAGCCTCATGGTGCCCAATTATTGCCCTTGTTCTACATGCCTCCTAAAAAGAGGACCTTACTTCAAAGCAGTATAACTACTGGTTACACTGCTTCAACTCCGTTCTTTCCGACACCTTGTAGCTGGGTTACAAACACCGATGTCATTGGAGAGAAACTTCTGACACCAGATGGCAAACACAAGCAGTGGGCCCCCTGTGGCCCCCTGCTCTGTCTTTTCCTCAAGACAAAGTGACACCCAGAATGCCCTGCGAGACAACTCTGTGTTATCACCACATTATCTGTGTCATGCTTGTGCAGACCTACTAGGATATTTGCAAATTAGTTTGGCATAAAAGATTATTTTATAGTCTAGAGAAAGAGAGGAGTGGTTTTGAGTTAAAGTAAAAGAATAGTAGCTGGTGTTTTAGCACAATTACATAAGAGAACAAAGGAATAAGAATAAAACAATGGATTCCATGCCGTCAGAATGAACCCCAGGAACCAGGATGAGGACAAAATGATGTGAATGAGAACTGACCCAACACACGACTGCACACATTTGTCATCCTTTATGACTAAATGGAATATACCGATGACTATGTGTCATACTCAGTCCTGTTTGTGTTTCCAAACTGAGATGAAACCTTCCAATACATCTGGGATGAAGCTGAAGAACTTTCTTATGGGAAAGAGCAGAAAAGGGAAATTAACTTTTGGTAATAGTTATTATTATCACCCAACCAAAGCCATTCAGTTAGACATATGAATTTTTAATGCAGACTTGAAAGGATTTTGCTTTTATGAAATCCATGCTGACCTAAATTTAACCCCCGTTCCAGTTTCAAAAGAATTTGATTTTGAAGATTCAAAGGAATGCTATTTGAAAATGAGCTCGGAGAGGATCTTGAAATGTTACTGAGCTGTGTAGTTGATTTAGGAGCCTTGAATTTTTAGTTACATGGAACAAGGAATAACTCCAACTTGATAAAATATTGAAAAGGAATACTCAGAATACATTTCTGTTACTTCATTCTCTCAGAGATGACTTTTAATGAATGTTTTCTTCTGAATAAATTCTAATGCAAAAACCACCCAGAGAGGCTTATTTATCCTTATTTTTACTTGGAATGTGAAAATCTAAGTTGTCAGGATAATTGATCTGAATTCCAAATGAGTATTATCTTTATCTCTAAGCCAATGGATGTTTTTTCTATTTCTGGAAAAGAGGTAGTGTGTTTGTTTGCTTTGGAATCATCTGGCCTGCAAATAAGAGATTTTGAAACTTTCCTGGGTATGGTTTGCAGTCATAAATGGAGACTGGTTCTTACCATTGATTGATTTAGTTGAACTCAAGCAACAAACATGTTAGACAAGCCATCATTAACCCCTTACTTGGATTACCAATTTCTTCCTAGAGCCACCATTTTTTGTTGTCATTCGTTGTTACCCATTACTGTCCAACGACTTGATCAAACAGATCACTGGCTTAAAAACTGAATGACTAAGTCCATGACATCCACAGTTTCAAATACTGAAATCCATGGGACTCAAGGCTCAGAGGTCACATACCTATTACAATACTTTAGACATGTTAAGACAGGGCAGCCTCTCCTTCCAGCCAATGTCAGTGCCTCCTTTTAAGTGATATTTCAGATTCTTTTCATGGTCTATGTCATGATTAGCACTGTTCATGGAAATCTATGAAAACATTATAGCATAAAGGTCAATAACTAGCTTGTTAGGGATCAGGAATCATAGTTTGTGGAAAAGTACTTAGGACTTGGACCCAATAAAGAATGAGTCCAGACAACAAGGAGATAGTATGTACTACATCCAAGAGACAAAGGAGCATCTCAGATGGATTTACAAACCAGGCTAAAACTGGCATGGGTAGAGAAAATACATTGTTTGGCCATCTAACTCTGGGGACTCTGTGGGATGAGAATGAAAGGTGGTCCTATGGGTAACTATAGAATCAACAGCACAGTCCAAAAAAGCAGATGTCTTCTAATCCTCTCATCGTTTGCTGCAATGTCAAGGATCTCAGGTCCACGCTGTGAGCCACCACTAGAGCATTTCTTTAGAGTTATAGGGGATGCCAGCACAGGCATCGTGGACATAGTCTGGGGAACCTGGAGAATTTCTAAAAATGCTGGTGTCCAAACAGATATTGTGTCCACTTCTGCCTCCTATCAATGGGCTACGGGTACTGAGTAAAGGACCCTTATAACCAGTTTCTATTCCTTGGGCATTTTTTTTTGGTCAGTCATGGGGCTTGAACTCTTGGCCTGGGCACTGTCCCTCAGTTCTTCAGCTCAAGGCTAGTGCTCTACCGCTTGAGCTACAGCACCACTTCCGGTTTTCTAGTGGTTTATTGGAGATGAGAGTCTCATGGACTTTCCTGCTGGGCTGGCTTTGAACTACTATCCTCAGATCTCAGCCTACTGAGTAGCTAGGATTATAGGCATGAGCCACTGGCACCCAGCTCATTTTCTTCTTTTTTGTACTAAAAAATATAGCTATAAAACTTAGCCTTGGCCCTCAGAATTCCCCATGTCTTGCTGTGAAGTTAAAATACTTCAAAAGGCAGTAATGAAATAGCAGCTCATATCCCACAGCTCTTCCTGACTCACTAACAAGTCAATGTTATTGTGACTTAGGAGAGGAGGAACTTGTGCTGCCTAGGGGCAGTGGAAAGGGAATGGTTAAAACAGAGGCCCAGTTACAGCCACTGGATACGTGATGCCTGAAGGACATCATTAATAGAGCAGCCTGTTGAGACCTAATCATTCTTCTAGGTGAATGTAATAAACCTTAAACTTTTCTGGTGGAAGACACTAAGACCCCACAACTTGCCTACACTGTCTCTTCTCTTTTTCCAGTGGTGAAAGAGCTCAGTGATAACAAAGCATTGGAGAGGAACAAAATAAGTGTTAAAATGGTAACAATGCAACAATTACAAGAAAAAGAAATGTTTAACAGGTAAAAACCTAGAAATAATTCTACAACTATGCAAATGAACAGCAAGATAGAAGCCACTGAAAGCCCTGTGACTGATGAAGTTCTAGAAAGAAACCTTTATTCTGAAATTGCAGGAATTCATTTCCTTGGTGTTGGAACTTGCAGCCTTCTCATGAATCCTGTGGCAGGCAAACTTCGCACATAACTAAACTAGGGTCCTCGAGAAATGTAAAATATTTTTATGGTTTGTCATTGTTTAAATTGTCTCATACTATTGTACACATTTATGGGGTACAGAGTGGTAATTCGATATCTATATATATATAATATGTGGTGATGAAATCAGGATAATTAGCATTTCCCTCTTCTTACATGTTTATCACTTTCTTTATATTTGAAAACTTAAAACTCTTACTTCTTTATAAGTATATAATAAATTGTTGTGAACTATAGTCAATCTACTGTGCTATACAAATACCCAAACTCAGTATTCCTATAACTTCCTTTTGCTATGTGTTACCCAATTTCCTTCCATTCTCCCTCTCCCCTTTAATCTCTAGTGACCACTATTCCACTCTATTTCCATGAAATCAACTTTTTAAGGTTT